AAGATGCTCAACAAAGGTTTCTGGGACAAGTGAAGAAAATGTGAACACCTAACTGGCCTGGGCGCAGAGATTACTGCTGAGGTCCGGCTCTCAGGGATTGTGTGATTTTGCCAAGATCTCAGGGCCCCTCGGGGGAGGTTGGAAGCCCTCTGCCCAGGGCTGCGGAGTCCACTGTCATGTGCCTTGGCCACAGACACAGAGCATGTGTGTGCGGGGCTGACCTGGGGCTGAGGTGGAAAGAAGGGGCTCCCCAACAGGCTGAGAACCCCCTTCCAGCCTGCAGCCAGGCAGCCGGCCCCAGACTTCTCACCGGGCTGTATTTATTTTCCTTTTCAAAGTACCCAACTATTTATAATTTTGCCGAGGCTTCAGAGTGTTATTATAGAAGTCACACGTGCCCACGGCGAAAATCTAAATGAAACAAAGGGCAGAAAATGGGACACGGTTAGAAGCCACAGCCTGAACGCATGCAAAGCAAAACTGATGGAGCTTACAGATTGGGTCGAGGGAAAAGCACAAAACAGAATGAGATCGAGAACACCACGCCGTCTGCACAAATTAAAAATATATGCACGCCAACCACACCGCCTGTTTCCCAAGAATCGTAAGAACAGAAAGAGACACACTAAGCCCATTAAAATGTTCCTTTGCAGGGGAGCAGAATGGGAGTGGGGAACGCAAAATAAGAGGAAATGAATGAGTGAATGAATGAGCAAACGGATGCATGAATGACTAGAAACAGGAGAGGGGCTGTGCGTGTACCGTCAGAGACACTAACATGCCTTGACCTGAGAATGATGCACGCAGCCATCTGCTCCTGAGGGTCTCCCCTGCCCCCCCAGTTTTAAAAGAAAAGGCAAAATAATAGGAACAAAGGCCCTTGCAGCACTTCTGAGACTCGGAACCTACTCTGTAGCTCTCCCTACAAGGAGCCTGGGCCCCGTGTGGGCTCTGTCATTGGCATGCTGTGTGTCTGGGAGCCTGTCTTGGGCCTCAGTCTCCTGATCTGTGAAATGGGAGAATCACAGCTGCCTGCAGGATCCTGGGGCTCTACCCTCAGGATCCCCTGGTTCGGGGTAACGGCTGCCCTGCTAGCTGGGTACCTTCTTTGGGTTGTTCTTCTCCACCACGCCATCCCGGTCTGCGTCTACATCCAGGGAGATCTCTGGGGACAAGAGACACGTGTGAGTTGCTGAGCCTGCCGGGTAGGGTGGGGCATGGACATGAGGAAGAACTGTGGGCTTAGGGTGCATCCCACCCATTCACTCGCTCACTGGATAGGGAGGGCCTGGCTGAGGTCATCTTACCCAAGCCCCTGCCTCGACCTCCCGCTACCCGCTGGCGAACGTCAGCAGACACGGTGCAGACTTCGCAGCTTACGGCTTCAAGAGGTGCTGCCGGGTGGGTCAGGGCTCTCCCACCACCTCACTGTTCTGGGTGGGGGTTGGGGGATGATCCTGGCCACACAGACCTGGGAGCCGCAGTTCACAGAGGTGAAGTCACACGCCCAAGGTCACACAGGTGGCGTTGGCAGGACCGGGGTACGCACTGCAGTGGGTCTGATTCGTACGTAGCTCGCATTTTGAAAACTTACAGGCACAGGATTCCCTAACGGCCTTTCCAATCTGTCCTGGACACGTACATATGTGGGCACACATACAGTCATGTGTGTGCGTGTCTTTTTCTCCCAGAACTCCCAGTGGCCGGGATTCCACCTCCAAGGACTGACGGTTTTACTTTGGGTGGGAAGCCGTGTCTGCAGCCCCTTTCGATCTGAGGATGCCTGTGAGTCCAGGGTTCCAGAGAGAGGGTCCAGGGCCAGGCCCCCACTTATCCCTTTTCTTGGGGAAGGGACCTTCAGCATCCCCAGGCCTGCCATGGAGACAGGCTTTGGGGAGACTGTGGGGAAGTGAAAACGGTTAGCATCAGACACTGCTGGGTTTGAACCCTGGTTCTCTGCTTACGAGCTGTGTGACTTTGGGCAGGTTAGACAACATCTCTGAGTCCCAGTTTCCTCTCCTATTCCAGTTATGGCATTTGCACTAACTGCAATGGTAGGCGCCACTGACATTTGGAGCCAAATAATTCTTTGTTGCAGGGCTGCCCGTGCATGGTAGGATGCTTGCCATCACCTCTGGCCTCTAACCAGAGGATGCCACTAACCACTCCCCCACCAGTTGTGACAACCAAAAATGTCTCCAGATATTGTCAAATCTCCTGGGAGGCAAAATTGCCCTGAGTTAGAGACGGACAGGGTGGGGTAGGGGTGTTGTTGGGAAGGTGTTGGGAGTGTCACTCAGATGAGATGTGCCGGTTCCAGGCCCCTGGAACTGCCCACGTGGGCTCGTTTCACGCTGAGCACGACTTGGACCACGGTGGAAGTTGGGTGGGAAACAAGGCGCTCCTGGGCAGTCCCCTTGCAGGCACGCCCTCTGCCCGGGCTGTGGGGAAGGAGGTCCTGGCACAGGAAGGGCACTGATGTCACCCTTCCCCAGGGTGGCTCAGCCCAACTGAGACCAGGGATTCCATTCAAGCCCTCCCTGTGCCTGCAGCTCGACTCCTTCCTGACCCTGAGTGTGGCTTTTCCGGGTCTAATTCACAGCCCTGTGCCGTTAGAAGCTGTAAGGTGTAATTTATGAACTCCGCCCACCAACCCCATTCATCACGTTTGAGCAGCCACTGTGTTCTGGGCACCACACCAGGTGCTGGGGAACGAAGGCACAGTGTCTGCTCCCGTCCTGTGAGATGAGTAGTATCGCCCCCCTTTCACAGGTGAGCAAGCCCAGGCTCAGGGAAGCCACCTGTTGGGAAATTGGGCTGGTATTCTGGGAGGCTGGGGCAGGGTAAGGATTCGAGAGGAAAGAGGGGGAGGCAGTACCACCAGCTGCTGTCAAAGAGGCTGAGGCCTCGGCTGCAGGAACAACATTGGTTTTGGCTCCCAGACCTTGGTGAACTTTCCAGCCCGTCACGCCCCGGTGAGTGCTGCTTTTCAGGGAGGTCGGCTTCCCGAAGCTCCTCCCTGGGAACCCGCTGCCTATCCAGCCCCCTTACGGAGCCACTCTGTCCTTCTCTCAATAACAATCTCTCCCCTTGTGTAGTCCACTCCGCAGCTGCAGGGCATTTTGTCTCCTCTCAGTCACTCCAGGGAAGGAGTTATCTCCCCTACCACCCAGGCAACCAGCAAGGAAGTGCCACCAAGGTCCCCAGGGAGCGCAGGGCCTCTGACTCCAGATCTGTGCTCTTTGCTGCTCCTGTCACTCACCCAGGCCAAGCTGCCTTCGAAGACCCAAGACCCGCTCCCCTGAAGGTCGTTCCCAGAGGAGGAGGCCACATCCACCCTGGCAGCCCTGTGGCCTTTGTCTCTGGGCTGCAAGGTGATACCACGTTGCAGCGTGGTATGTCCGTTAAAGCCGTGGGTCACAGGAGAGGAATGTGAAGCACTTTAGACTGCTTTATTTCATTATGAATTTCTTAAAATTAAAAATTTTATTAATGTAATATTTGTACATAGTGTAAAAAAATATCAAATAAAATAGTAACGAACTGCTTCTACAGAAAAGCAGCAGGTGCCTGTCCAGCCCTTCTCCTCAGCGGCCTGGGCAGCCTCCCTAATGATAAGTAATAAGCTTACTGCTGTGTCCCGATGATTAAATGCGGAGAGGTTTCATTGCCTTCCTGTTATGAAATTTGGGCGTTTCATAATCGGGTTATCTTGTAACCCACCCCCAACCTCTCACAGTGCTTCCGAATTTCTCTCTTGTGACCTGTGATCCGTCCCCATAATCAGCTGAAATGATCGCCTCGCCCCTCCGCCCTCCTGCAGAGACCCTCCCAAGGTACAAGCTCCCAGGACCTCTCCCTGCAAGACTTCCCCCGGTGTCCAGTCTAGCCGGACTCCAGTGGGGTGAGGCCTGCAGGGGAGCAGGACAGGCTGTCGTGACCCAGAACACTGCCTCTGGGCGCCAGACAACATTTCCCGAAGGCTCTGGATCCTACCTCAGCCTCCGAGAATAGCCCCAAGGTGTCAGGTGGCTCTTAATGGGAAATGTCACTAGGATTGGGTTCAAGGCAGTCTGCTCTGAGCCTCAAGACCCTGAGGCCTTAGCTGTGACCCAGAGGCACACGCATTTTGGCAGGCCGCCAGCCCCATGGACGGTGGCAGGGTGCCTGGCCTTCTTACCTTACCAAGCAGCTTGGGTGTGGTGGGAGGAAGGACTCCCTCCCCCACAGCCAGCCAGGGCAAGTGTCCCAGGCCGTGGGGATGGGGCACAGGATTGAGCTCCTTAGGTTGATGCTAACGTTCTCGAGGCCTCTGTGTGTGCCGTTCCCATGGCCAGGACCACAGCAACCAGAGTGGGACTATTCCTCCTCGCCCCCCACGTCCCCTCCCGCTTTTCCCCTGAACAGGGAAGGCTGTGCAAATAACCCAGCCTGAACCGGAGTCTTGAAGATCTTCAGGGACCTTCAAACTCTCATTTTATAGCTTGAAAAATGTGAGGCCCAGAGAGGGTGGGTGCTTGTCAAGGTCACACAGCAAAACCTTGGCGGGTCTGGGGCCAAGACCCAGGGCCTGATTTGGTCAAGGGCACTGTGGGTTTGTCCCTAGATCCCAGGAGGAAGACTGAGGGACAGCACGTTTCTTCAGCTTCATCGAGGCAGAGAGAAAATGTGGCTGCCCCAAGAGGAAGGGAGAAAGGAGAACACGGATGGAGCACCCACTCTGTGCCAGGCCATCTGCGCACAGTCCCGCTGGGTCCTTGCAAGCGCCACGCAAGAGCGCTGTGCGCGGCCCACGCCGCAGGTGAGGAAACGGAGGCTCAGGGGGACGATGTGACTCTCCCAAGGTCACAGTGTGGTGGGAGGGGGCCAAGCCAGAACTTAGATTTATTTCTGTCCACTCTGACACCAGGGCTCTTCCTGCTCAGTACGGGCTCAGGATAGGACTAAGGTAAGATGGATTCAGGCATGTCTGGCAGGGGGTGGGATAGTCCCGCCATCTTAGGACATTCAGGGTTGCTGCCCCTGACTGATGGCTCTGGATGTGGGGCTCGGGGATTCCTGTGACCTGGAAGGGACAGGCTGACCAGTGGTTCCCAGGGAAACCAGATTTTCACCAGGTGTCCTGGTGGGACAGGAAACATCAGTTCAATGGGGTGAGTTGTCATAAAGCTTTCTTTTTGCAATGTAAATGACTGTCTTTTACTCTGAGATTATGTCACATTTTTAGATGTTAAAATGATGTTGACAGTTGACGGCAAACGGTTTTATTAACGTCTTATTTTTTTGGCCAAGCATCAAAGTTGTTAGTCTTCTCATTTTTGAGGGGGCAGAGGGGAAGAAGGGACATTTTACTGGCTCATGGAACCTAAATATCTGGGACTCGAGGGAGTTAAAGGCTTGTTAAGTGAAAGCACAACCCCCAGAAGCTCGGAAGCCTGAGGGCGGTCATGGCTCACGGGCATGTTTGGTGCCTTCTGAGTCTCGGCCCCGCTGCTGCCTCTGCGTGCAGCTTTGCAGTCCTGCCTCCTGAGAGTGCCTTATTTTGCCACCTGCCCTAAGTCCGTCTTGCTCTGGGGGAAGTCTTGGTGGTGGTGCTGTCGGCCTTGTGGGATCACCTCCCTCTCTGGCGCCTGCCCTTCCTGCCTACGTCCTCGGGTGTCCGTGTCTCTGTGGGATTGGGTTTCCTCAGACACAGTCAGCTGAGACAGCCTGGGGGCTACGTGTGCATGTGAGGTTCACACACGTGCCAGGACTCAGCACAACCCCAGAGTCTTCGGTTACTATCTCCCAAGGCCCCCCAGGGTTTCCCAGGCCACCCCATGACTGGGCTCCCCCTTGGTGCAGAAGGAGGGACAGGGTGACCAGCAACCAAGCCCACTTGGGAATTAGCTGAGAAGCAAAGAGCCCGGCTGTCGAGCCTATTTTAGCAGCTAAGAGTACAGGGCTGGAGGAGGAGGGGTGGGATTGGGAGGGCATTGTTTTTTGGGGAGGTTCCAAGACCTACTGAGAAGGCGAGATAACTGAAATGACTTGGCGTCCCACCAACCACCTTCCAGGGGTGTGGCCTCAGGCAAGCTTTTTTTTTTTGTTTTACCTTTTCTGAGCCTTAGTTTTCTCACCTGTAAAATAGGGATAATAATAGTGTCTAATTTTCCGGCACCTAAAGCAATCACAGCAGCCACAAAAATAAATAAATGGGACCCGATCAAATCGAAAAGCTTCTGTACAGCCAAGGAAACTATCCCTAGAGCAAATAGACAACCTACAGAGTGGGAGAAAATATTTGCATGCTACACATCTGATAAAGGGGTGATAACTAGAATCTATATAGAACTTAGGAAAATCAACAAGAAAAAATCAAACAACCCCATTAAAAAGTGGGCAAAAGACACGAACAGAAACTTTTCAAAAGAAGACAGAATAATGGACAACAAACATATAAAAAATGCTCAATATCTCTAATCATCAGGGAAATGCAAATCAAAACCACAATGAGATATCACTTAACTCCAGTGAGAATGGCTTTTATCAAAACAACAAATGTTGGCATGGATGCAGAGAGATAGGAACACTCATACACTGTTGGTGGGACTGCAAATTAGTACAACCTCTATGGAAAGTAATGTGGAGATACCTCTAAGAACTCAAAGTAGACCTACCATTTGTTCCAACAATCCCACTGCTGGGTATCTACCCAAAGGAAAAAAAGTCATTCTATTAATATAATAAAGACATCTGCACTCGAATGTTTACAGCAGCATAATTCACAATTGCAGAGATGTGGAAACAACCCAAGTGCCCATCAATACATGAGCGGATGAATAAAATGTGGTCTATGTATACCATCGAGTACTACTCAGCCATAAAATACAACGGTGAATTAATACTTCTTGTATTATCCTGGATGGAGCTAGAGCCTACTCTTTGAAGAGAAGTATCACAAGAATGGAAAAACAAGCACCACATGTACTCACCATCAAATTGGTACTAACTGATCAACACTTAGGTGCTCAGGTGGAAGTAATATTCATGACATGCCAGGCAGGTGGGTGGGCATGGGGGGGCTGGGTAAATTCATAACTAATGGGTGTGAAGCGCACTGTCTGGGGGATGGGCACACGTCATTATTATTTTTAAAGTACTCAGCTTATAGTTGACTCTCACTAACTGGTAGTTCCCTTCGTCTGCTTTGTGGCAATCTGTCGATGTTAAACCAAGCCCGGATGAACAAAATGACCCTCTGAAATGTCCTCCTGGCTTAAACATTCTATGATTAAAAACTAATAAAATAACATAAAACAAAATAAAAGTAATGCCTCATCTGCAGGAGGGTTGCGTGCCTGAAAGTTCAGAGGATCACATTCCTGGGTCCTGTTGAGCCAGGCTGGGCCCCGCCACCCCAGCACGCAGGTCTGGCATCGGGCAGGGCAGTGTGGTGCAGTGGGCAATAATCCTGGATTCTGGTCTCAACCTGCCGCTGAGTTGCTGTGTCACTTTGAACGAGTTCCCTAATCTCTCTGGGCCTCAGGGTCCTCATGGGTCAAATGAAGAGCTTGGACTAGGGGAGTTAAGGACCTGGGGCTGCCTCTTTGTGCCCTGTCAGGGCTGGATCTGTGGAGGGCACGGGGGTAGCTGTGACTGTCAAGGTCAGCGGCAGGCTTTATAGACTGTGGCCATTGCCCTCCCCATGAGAGGGAAGCCCTTTTCCAGGCTGCAGGGGAGAGGCAGGGGAGATAGAATTTCCTTTTGCTTTCATGGCCCAGAGACCGGGAAGGGGACCCTGTCATTGGGGTGAGTTGCTGGCAGATTGGGCACACCTCTTCCCGGGAGAAGGCCTCCAGCCCAGTGCAGGAGGACCAGGGCACCCATAGGAGAATTTCCAGGTGCCAGGTCTGCAGCACTGAGAACAGCGTAAGTGCCACGGAGAAGGGCAGCGGTGCCAGGCCCTGGGGGTGAAGGCACCGGGACCGCAGTCACACCAACTCACCAATGGCCGTGAGGAAGAGCCCAGCCTGGTCGATGGGAACGCTCCCCTCCTCGTCATAGTAGTTGACGGTGACCTTGGTGGGGAGGGGCACAGCGGATAGAGAGAAGAGCAGAGATCACAGATTACAAGCAAGAAAACCTGAAGTAACTGCCTCCCCCTGCTTCATGGCTCACGGCTTGTCAAGCCAGCCCTTCCCAAACATCGGCACCCTCTCCTCCGGGAAGCACTCCTGGGTTGGTGGGCAGCTTCTCCCAGATAATCGAACTAGACGGGAGACGCCCCTCTTGCCAGCTCAGGGTGCAGCCAGGATGCCATCTGCCTTCCTGTGTCCCCGTGGACATTCTGCAAGGCCCCCACATCTGCCATGTGTGTGTCTAGCTCCTGCTGAGCTCCCGGGGAGCAGGGCTGAGGGTGTTTTCTCTGGACAATGCCCAGTGCCATCGCTGCGATGGGGCATTGGGTGAAGTTCATGGTTAGAGGACCCAGCGAGGAGACAGTGCCAGTCTCAGCTTCACCACTTGGGCAAATCCCCCCATGGGGGGCTCGCCATCCCGCTTTACAGACAGTGAGACCAAGGACGCGTGTGACTGCAACTTGCAATGATTCTGTGGTTCAGAGTCTCTGAACTTTCCACCGCTCAGCAGGCTGCAGTTGTCCCCCCCTGTGAAGCCATCGCCCCACGGTCTAGTGCCGCGCTATGCTACACAGCAGCCGCCAGCCCACACGGCCGCTGAGCCTGGAAATGCAGCTAGTCTGAGCTGAGATGTGGGCAAGTGTAAAACACACACCGGATTCAGATTTGGTGTGGAGAAAGAATACAAGCTCTCTTAGTAATATTTTTATATTGATGACACGCCAAAAAGGTGCCATTTTGATATATGGGGTTAAGTAATATATATTAAGAAATTCATTTCACCTGTTTCTTTTTGCTTCTTTAATGCGGCTACTAGAAGACTGAAACCGACCCACGGCGTGCATTAGTTTTCTATCGGACAGGGCCAGTCTAGGCCTCCTCCACCCCTGCGTGGCCCGGGCCCCCGTGGCCCTCGGAAGGTGGACCTCCCCAGCCGTGGTACCTTGTCGCTGCTGGCCTCGGTGCTCGCCTGGCTCATGGTGAGCCGCAGCGTGGTGGTGGGCGAGAGACGCCAGCGCCGTTTGCCGTTGGTGGCCACTTCCTCGGCCTCCCCGTCCCGCACCACCTCCACGCGCACGCGCTCTGTGTGCTTCAGGCTGAAGGTTTGGGCCTCGGCCGGGGCCGCGCTGCGGGGAGAGAGAAGAGAGGGTCAGGGGGAGCCCTGGGGTAGGTGGGACAAGGGCTTTGGGAGGAGACTCCTGGAGGGGCAAGGGTCATCCCGGGTCACTTGGTCTGGGGGACCCCAGGGAACCAGCTGCCCTGCAGTCACCTGGTAGCAAAGAGGGTGCTTGCTCAACACACAGATCCCCTGGGCCCGTGTCCCGGGGATCTGAATTCTCGACAAGCTTCTTGGTGCCTCTCGTGGGTGGCAGCTTCGCGAGCCACGTGGTTCTGTGAGGGTGGATGACCGAGGCCCAGACAGAGAAAGGAGTTCGCTCCAAAGGCAGCGCTGGGCCTGGAACCCTGCCTCCCTGTCTGGTCGCTGAGTGACGTGCTGCCTTCTGAGGGCTGGAGTCCGGAACCCGGTCCTAACGGGGCAGGGTGGTGTGTCTCTGTTACTAAGATCCCCTCCGTCCTGCCCCGGCTTTCTTAGCCTAGAACTCCCCATGCGCTGAGAGTCATTCCTTGGGGCTCAGAGGTGGTTTTCCATTGAAAGGGAAATATTTTGGGGATTCTTCAAAAGTCATTGAGTCTTCAGCGCAGGAGAACGAACTGCTTTGATCTGGCTGCTATGGACTAAATGTTTGTGTTCCCCCCAAATTCTTATGTTGAACCCTAACCCCTAGAGTAATGGTATTTGGAGACAGGGCTTTCAGGAGGTAATGAAGGTTAAGTGAGGTCAGAAGGGAGGGGTTCTAATTCGATAGGATTATTTACTTCTCCTCATAAGAAGAGAAGGGGGGGTCTCTTTCTACACACACACACACACACACACAGACACACGCTCCAAGGAAAGGCCACCCGAGGACACAAGGTGACAAGGTGGCCAACTGCAAGCCAGGAAGAGGACACCCACCACGACCTGACCATGCTGGCACCCTGATCTCGAACTTCCAGCCTCCAGAACTGTGAGAAAATAAATCTGTTCTTAAGCCACCCTGTCTGTGGTGTTTTGCTGTGGCAGCCCGAGCAGACTAAGACACTGGCTCAAGGAGATGACAGGAAGGAGACGGGGAGACCAGCGTAGGAAGGTGCCGGGGGCTGGTGGTTTTGTTAACTCCAGCCCCTGGTCTGAAGGTCCCTAAGGTCCCAAGAGGGCTCATAGGGATTTCGGTGGGATTCGCACGGGATTTGTGACTCAGACGTAGGAGTAAGCACGTCTCAAAGGCACAGATGCTATTTTTGGGGCCCGGGTTCCCGGAGTTCTCAGTGGTGGCTGTGCATCAGAGCCACCGGGGGTGCTTTTTACAACCTTCAGGGTGTTTTTCTTTTAAGGCTGCAGATTTGTGGATCCCATCCCTGCAGAGTCTGCCTGGCACGACTGAGGCACGGCCAGGGCAGCTGAGGATGTAAACGGTGGCCAGGGTTGAATGGGAGGTTTAGGCCGGTGGCTCCCAAAGTACAGCGGCAGCAGCAGCACCTGGAGGGCTTGTCGAACACAGATTGCAGGGCCCCACCTCAGAGTGTCAGGGTCAGCAGGTCTGGAGTGGGGCCCAGGAATTTGCATTTCTAACCCGTGTCCAGGAACTGCTGATGCTCTTTGTCCTGGGGCCACACTTCGAGAACCACGGGTCTAGATATTTAGTAGTGTGGTCCAGTGGTTAGAGCCCTGGGGTGGTCAAGGCCATGATTGTGAGTTTGTAGCAGCCACCAGGCAGCGTCTCTCTGACCCAGGCCACCAACCCCTAGGGCTACTGGCAAAGACCACTGGTCTTGGGCAGTGGCAGGAGAGAGTGGGCAGGGATCCTCAGCCCGTGCCCAACATTGGGAGGGGAGCTCAGTCCAGAAGCCCCAGGGCCACTCCATTTCTTGTCCCTCTGCCTCCCTCTAAACGCCTCAGCTGGTCATGGGGACTCTGGGCTGATGTGAGGCTGGACACTTGGTGGCTGTGGCCTGCTGTCCTCTGTCCACATCTGTCATTAGAGAGGCACAGAGTCGGGGCAGAAGCCCTGGATGGGGAGTGCATGTGCAGAGAGCTGGCTGTGAGTCTCGTTTTGCCACTGACTCACTGACGGGGTCTTAAGCACATCCCTTGCCCCTTCTGAGTGTCCATCGGACCACCCCTAAGACACAGGAGGACTGTCACCCTCCTGCCCCACAGCTCTCGTTTCTCATCCCTCATAGGGCCAGGCCACGTTTTGCAGTGTGATGCTGCCACGTGGTACCTGCCCTCCTCTGGGTTGTGGGCCCCCTGAGTGCAGGGCCCAGCCTCTCCCGTCCTCCTCCGTCAGAGCCTAGCACACGGCTTGGCCCGTCACGCACGGCCAGCCAGGAGGGCAGAACTGAGCGGGATGGAAGGCCAGCCGGGCCCGAAGGGGGGTGTGGGTATGCACCTCGGTGCTTTAGGTGGCACATGGAGGAACAGTTGAAAAGAAGATGTATGTGTTTATTAAATGCAGTATCTTTATATGGCAACTGATAAACCTTACCGTTTATGGCAATGCTATAAAATCGCTGTTGGAAATAAAGTTATTAAGAAGAATGTGAGTTGGTTTAAGGAAAAATGTTGATAGTGCTGCAGGTGGAAGATGGTTTTGGCAAAAATGGTGAGAGTCTGGGAAATCGTGGACTTGGGTCTGGGGAACATTCCTCTAGTGCACGTTCCAGCTTTGCCCATCACCTTGCTGGTGGCCTTGGGCCAGGAGCTTTCCCTCTCTCGGTTGCACCAGTGTTAAATGAGAGGATGGGACCGCCTTCATTCCTCCCGGCCAACAGAAACCTGAGGAGGCCCCAGAGGCCCCAGAGGGTTAACACCAGGCCCACAGCGCAGCGCCAGGGCCCCACGCCTCCCACCACCCAGCACCGGCCCTGCTCTGAGCTGAGCAAACAGCTATTCTTGGAGCGGCCCTGGCAGAAGCAACAAAGGTGCCCATTGTCCCCTGCGGATCCTGTTGGCTGCCTTCCTCCCCAGGAAGAACCTGTTAGCATCCCCACCCGCAGAAACCCGAGAGCCGGGGGCTGCAGGGACCTTGATTGTTCCTGGAGGCTGCAGGGAGGGCCCCAGGGCAGTATCGAGGGAACGGGAGTGGGAGTGGGGTGGTTAGGGCCTCCCTGCTTATGGAACGAGGCTGCTACGTTCGGGGCTGCCGGTCCCCGAACCACGTCTGCTTTGCCTCCCACCGTATCCCGGAAGCCAGGACACGGTCATGCCCAGTGTATCTCTGGGAATAAGTGAATGAACGGACCCACCCTTCTTGGCTTTCCAAGCTGTATTACCAGAGCGATTTTTTTGGGTAAAAAAACAGAAATTAGGTCACTTGCTTGCCTGAAAAGATTCAGTGGCTCCTCAGTGCCTACCCACACCATAAAACCCAAGCTCTTTAGCCTGGTGTTCACCCAGTGGCACTCGGCCACCGCATCCCAGCTTGAGTCTGCGGCCCCATTTTCCGCGCCTCCATCCAACCCCTGGATTCCCGCAAGGCCTCATCTCTCAGTGCATTTTGCATCTGCTGTTCCTTCCACCCGCAAGACTTTCCCCGGCTTCTCTGCCTGGCAAGTGTCCACCTCTCCTTGAAGACCCAACCCGCCCGATTTGTCCTCGTGGCTATTGTCCCCGTGGCAGTTAGCTGCTCCAAGGTAGGGATCGTACCGTCCTGCTTTCCCTTTGTTGTTTCTGCACCTGGCCTGGTGGGGCACGCAGTAAGTACAAATGTCTGCTGGGGGAGGGCTGCAAGAGGGGGGCTGGTGTCCACGGTCATTCATTCACTCAACAGGCAATCACTGAACACTCACTATGTGCCAGCACAGTTCTAGGTGCTGGGGGCAGATGGGTGGAAAAGATAACCTGTTTCCTGGGCCCGTGGAGTTTGTATTCTGGTGGAAGAAAAAGGCTTTCAGTGGGTCACACAGTTAATTGTGTGATTATAGCTGTGATAATTCCTACGGAGGAGAAGTGTGGGGTGCCATGAGGCCTCGGTCTGGGGTTCAAAGAGGGATTCCCCGAGGAAGTGGCATTTAAGCTAAGGTCTAAACTTTGCACTCCAAAGAATAGACAAGAATTAATTAAACCAGTGGTTCTTAAACTTGAGCGTACATCAGCATCACCTACAGCGCCTGTTAAAATACAGGCCGATGGGCCCAACCCCTGAGCTTCTGATTTATCAGGTCTGGGGTGGGGCCTGGGAAACTGCATTTCTATAAAGCTCCCAGGTGATGCTGACGCTGCTGGTCCAGGGACCACAGTCTGAGAACCACCGAATTGGACAAAGGGAGCAGAGGAAGAGGAGCACAGATTTCCAAGCAACAAGGATAGCCTGGGTGATGGCCCGAGGTGGAAGTCAGCCCAGCACGTTCGAGAAACTGGAAGGAGAGGGTGTGGCTGGAGTTTGTGAGCGAGAGGCAGGAGAATGGTGGGAGGAGAAGTTCTAGACTGTGCGGAGGAGCTGGCCTTTCTCCTGAGAGTAGAGGGAAGTCACTGGGAGAGTAGAGGGTTTCCAAGCAGGGGTGGCAGGATCACTTTTGCACTATGGACTGATCACCCGGGGCGCAGGGTCACGCAGGGTGCAGGGGTGGGGGATAGATTTCAGGAGAGCAATAGAGGAAGTGGGAAACCAGTGAGGAGGTGATTGCAGCTGCCCAGGTGAGTGACAGTGGTGCCTTGGGACCAAGTGGTGGCCACGGAAATGCAGGGAAATGGCCACTCGGTTGGTGTCAAACAAAGGGCACCTTTCCCAGCCCGACAAATGCTGTGTGGCCTCTGGAAAGCCACCCAGCTTCTCTGGTCTTAGCTAGGTCAGTGGGGAGGGTCACTGGCTTGGCGTTGCAGGGCTGGGGTGGCTCACTCCGCCCCAGACTTGAGAGCATGAAGTGCCTGCTCTTTGCCGGCATCCGGCTGTCTCAGTTTGTGCACCTGACCTGGGCCTCATTAACACCAGCCGGGGCTCATCCCCAGAGTGACCCCAGCTCCTGGCAGCCCGGGTGTGACATCCTGCCTGCGGGTCTTTCTAGGAGCCCGAGGGGGGAGTCG